TTGGTTTTGCTTGATGAGAAATAATTGCTCTGACATTAAGCTATCCAACATCTTGACAAGATTATAACGATAGGAAAAAAGGATCAATCGAAAACTAAATGTGAATGTCACTATATAGTTTTTATGATAAAAATCATCTCGTAAGACTGGTTTACTGTTTTCTTTTAGGATACAGTTACACTAAAGATTATAATGTCGATATATGTGAGCGTTAGATCGACGATTTATTATTTCTTTCCGTTGCTTAGATATATATATTTATTGTTATTTATTTCTATGGGCAGGCATTAGTATGTCACGGTTCCTATCTCTACACGGTCGGTGGTACTACTGGGTATGAGTATACCTGCGACATTCACCGATTCGATTTAAGAAGAGGCGTCTGGGAAGTGGTGTACATTTGCTCGGGCAAGGACGAGTCGGAGCCACACGGAAGGTACAGGCATGAGCTTGCTTTTGACGGCAAGATGATTTATGTTTTGGGTGGTGGCACCTCGACAGAATCTTATGGCTTTTCGGTGAGTAAACCCATAAAGATTCTATTAAAAAGTACAAACTACTCTTATGTAATATATACATTATTGTTATTATATTAATATGCTATATTAAAATGTATTGAGTACATATATATATATACGTATATATATATATATATATAATAAATACATTTATAATAAATTCTTTCAGGAAATACCGGCGTTCGATTTGAAGACCAACAGTTGGAGGATTTTGAGCACGCACGGTGATACTGAAGAGACCATGGTGCCGGCACCACGACGTTGTCACGGTTCCGTTCAGTACACGGACGAGAAGAGCGGCGTTACCTCGGTCGTTATATCGGGCGGTTACAACGGCGACTGGGTGTTCTCCGACGTTTGGCGGCTTGACCTCGGCACGCTGCAGTGGACGCGCCTGAGAGAGTGCATCCTACCCTGCCCAGTGTACTTTCACTCGGCTGCGCTGACTCCAGAGGGTCGCATGTATATATTCGGTGGTATAGTCAAAATGAACAACAAGGTTATTATCGTACTGTCACTATAAACGGGGCGTGACATATTCCACAAATGTGTTTCATTCAATGTACTTTCATCAATTTGTAATCGCGACAACTTTATCGTTACAGGTACAGAGAACAAATGCGGTTCACTCCGCTTGGCTAACAATTCCCAAATTGTCTGAGATCTGCTGGCAAGCGTTGAATTATTATTACCCGAACTTGAAGGATAGTTCACCGGACAAGCTGCTTCACATGGGGATACCATTAAAATTCGTACGAAGACTTGATTCCTACGACTGATGTGAACGATAAGTCTTTTCCTCGACACTACCGAATTCTCGAATCAGATGTTTCTTGCGCTGCACGCACTTGAAAGCGTTTGGCCACGCTTCGATCATTCAATGTTTCGATTCGCAACTTTTAATGCTAATTTTTTTACAATTTCGTCTATTTCGTAGTAAACCATTATTGGTAATGGTAAGAGTAATTTCACAATCGTTATTTATTACTATTCATTACATTTGTGACTAATAAGCGAGCTGTTTGCGAAATAATAGATTTTTCTCTTTCTCAAATTTGCTTTTTAATCCGACATTTAACATTTAAATTGCCAGTTACGCTATTTTCCTGATATTAACGGCAACTGATTAAAAATGATTAAAAAAGAATGTACAAATATGAGAGTGATTAAAAAAATTATAATATGTAAAGAGTATCAAAGGATATAGTTCATTATTAGTATACTTAATGTTGTGTACAGTATATTCATTCTGCCTTTTCTCTCTCTCTAACGCTGTACATGACGTGTGTCTGGTGTGTGTCTGTGTGTGTGTGTGTATATATATATGGCTGTGTTCCGTTATTCACTGCCAGTGCTGAAAATCTATAGTGTATGTGACGTAAACTATAGATTTTTAGTACTGACAGTGAATATCGGAACGGAGCCTATATATATATATATATATTCATTTCTTTAAGGATGTTAGAATTAGTAGAGATCATCGACTCACACTGCGCGACGATGAGATATATTTCTAAATGTTTAAATAACGACGAGCGCAAATAATATTGAGGATATGGTGTTACTAAATGTGTTTTGTCTTAAAGATATTGTTAAATGTAATATTTGTCCGCGGTGCCTATTAATTAAAGCGATGCTCGCGAAGCTGCTCGTTCGAATAAAAAACTTGGGGGGTCTTATAGCTGCGGCATAAACAATCTTCATTATTCTTTTCTTTAACGCGTTATATTTTACGTAACAAAAAATGACATACTTTAAGCAAAATCCAGCATAAAAATCCGATTATTTGTGCTATATACACATATATATGTATGCATCTGATTGATTTATTTCTATTTCTATCAATGTAGATTAATTTTAATCTCGATTTAACTTACTTTTTATCCTTTTTCAGTTTTAATAATTAGAAGAAGATAAAAAAATAAGTTAAATCGAGATTAAAGTTAAAAATGTAGTTAAAGGTAGAAATGGACATTAATTCGCTTGTCCGTCTCTACTTCCCTTTTTTTTATGGATATTAGTTTCACACATTTAATTCGATTGTTTTCTCCTTTTTAAGGTGGATCCACACATGAGCACGCTTGACCCGAGCCAAGCCGAACGAGAGCCGAACAAATTCGCACGATGCTTGCTCAAGCGTCTATTTGGAAGTATTCGGAAGTGATCCAGACGTTCGGCAGGTAGTGAAAATAGCGGACGAAGATTTGGAAGATGCATTTATCAGTTTCTGTGACCTACTGTACGAAGATAAGATGAATTCTCTTTCTTCCTCCGAACACGGCTTACCTTCGAACATTCGCTCTGGCCCGTTCACACACATTCATACGAATGGCAAATGCTCGGATCTGATCCACGACTCGCGGATCGGTTTGAGCGCGTTCGGCGAACGGTCTGGGCCTGTTCGGCTTGGCTTGGATCATCGTCCACACCAATACGTTCATTCGTGTTCGGCTTGGCTCGGATCCGAGCGTGCTCAGGTGTGGACCCGCCTTTAAATAGGCATCATGTACTTTTTTATTTTTTGCATCGTTTTTTTCTTTTTTTGAATCATTTTACTTTTTTTTAAACAAATGTCATTATTTTGAATGTCATATTGTTTATTAAGATATTAAGTCCCCGTAAGCGACTTCAGAGTTTGATTGCTCGAATATAGAATTAACCTTGACGGATGAACGACCCTCTAATTATTCTGAGCAGTATATCATGCATCGTAATTACGCAGTAGATTTTCGGTGCTGTTTGCTAAGACGTATTAGCTGTACATTAAATATTCACTAATAGAGAGAGAGAGATATATATATAGATATTGTAAATACAAAAATGGAAAAGAGAAATACAGAACAATCGAATCTTCCGATTTGAGTGATTTTATTTCACGAATTCCCACATTATGAAGAAAATATTCCCTAATCCTCTGGTAAAGAAAGCGTCGTCAAGAGATTTCAAAAAATTAATTATCTATTTTTTTTTTAGATTTACTAAAGTCTTTTATATAAACTAAAAATTTAAAAATTTTAAATAAATTAGAATTTTAAAAAATTTACATTTTTTTAACAACGTGTCGTTTTCGTCATCTTGCCCCCATATGCGGGTAAGATGATTTTTAGTAGTGAATAAGATAACGAAAAGTCAAATTAAGTTAAAAATATACTTTTTTTACGAAAATTTAAAAGATTTATTTTATTGTAATAAACTTCTTATATTGTTTTAGTGTTACACAGGTAACCAATATTAATAAACTAACTAATTTGTCGCGGTCACATTTACAATGCACATTAACAATTATAACTGCATTTACGGATACGTTATCTTGCACATCACGCATGACGTTCGTCATCTTACTCGCAGTCATTGTATTTATTTTTTTCATTTAATAAAAATGTTGCAATGCGAAAAATGAAAAATGCTAGTATGTCATTCTATACATTCTTAGCTATACTTTACTGTAATTTTATTTAAAAAGTGAAAGTATTTACTATAATTAAGTCCTTCCTTATAAACAAAAAAATTACATATAGGTGCATCCAGAACACATTTCTTATATATATTATTCACTTTTGTGGACAGATTGAAATCAAACTACAAGAGATTATGTGCTATTATCTAAAGTCTTTAATGAGTCTGCATCAACTCGTTATCTGTTATAGTTTAGACAAATTAGCAATTCGTCATCTTAACCCTCTTTCCCCTACAATCTAGTTTTACCAGATAATTTTTAAAAGGTTAATTGATTTTTATACACTAGTATTTCAAAATAATAAACAAAAACAACTCAAATCATCAGTCGTCGAATGCACGGTCTATGTAAGACCGTGGTCGAATGTATAGACGGATACATACGGATATCTTTCTTTCCATTCGTTAACCAAACAATCGCTAATTTTACAGAATATAAAACGTAACTCTTGCAGTTTAGGACATTGTTCGAAAATAACGGAATATTTATCAGGTGAATATTTATCAAGTTTCACTTGATACAGATATAACCATCTCAAGTTTCTGCACTGCGTTAGTAATTCCAAATTGCGATCAGTGAGGACAATACGGCACAAACAAACTGCTTCCAAGCGTTGACAGGAAGAAAGTAATTTATACAAACTATCATCAGCGATTGAGCATCCGAGTCTGTAACAAAAATCATATAATTATTATAGTACTTTAATCACAAAAAAATTAATGTAACTTTCTCAAGATGCTCGAAATGTAAGAGAAGCAAATACAAAAATTTTGATAAAGAATACGGTAACATATGTATTGTAATAGTTATTTGTGTAACAAGTGAGGTAAGATGAAAATTCCCGGGTGCGGTTACCGCACTCGCCTTCGGCTCGTGCGTAAACTCCACACCCGGGAATTTTCATCTTTACACACGGCTTACACTCCCTATTTTATGTTGCAAGTGCCTGGAAAGTGGTCTATCACGCACGCGTAGCGTGCGTAATGGGGCACTTTCCATGCACGTGTTGCATAAAAGAAAATGTAGCACGTACACTTACTGGGGAAGGTACACTTTTCGTAAATTCTTACAGTCAGCGAGAACGTTAATACTTGTCGGCGTATGATTAATTGTCCTATATAAATCTATTACTTCCAAGTTAGGACATGAATTTCTCAATTTTATTGCATCTGCCTCTAGGTCTAGGTTTGTTGTACGCAATGAAGATGCGAACACGCATAAATCACGCATCCATTGATTTTTTTGCAGTATTTTGTAAAGACGTTCAGATGTTATATATGTGTCATAAAGATTTAAATGTTCCAAACTATTTAGCTTCTCGAGATATGAAAATCCTTCGTCGTCTAGGCAACCACAACTTTCTAGATCCAATTCTAAAAAAACAATGTAATGGTCATATGCAATTTACCAGTACCTTTGACAATCTTACATATTATATGTACATACACATATATACATACCTTTCAAATTTTTACATATCTCTGAAATTTTAAGTAGGGCACAATTGTCGACAGATGAACAGCATCCAGTTAATCTTAAGTGCGTTAAACGCCTGCCGCAATTATCAAGAAAGTTTATGAAATCCCTAACATCAAACTTACTTCCTGTAAGATCTAACTGTTGTAAATATTTACATCTAGGTGTAAAGTAACAAAATATATCGTGCATATCTGTACGACATACATTTCGCACGTTCAAACATGTATAGAGTTCATAGTCCTGTATTAAATTTTTAAAGCGTTCATCTACATATTTCATGCGGCATAACGTCGTCAAATCTAAGTTTTTCAATATTTTTAGTAGTATTTCATCCTGCAAAGATAAAAAATAAAACTTTGATACACGAGATGACATTGCAATAAATATTGCTATGAAAAATAAACTTTTTGAAATACTATACAGAAAGCGCAAGTATACTGCAACGTAACAGCTTCTTGGATTCACCCAAAGAGAGTTTCATACTCTGTGCGTTATTCGAATGACCTTTTGATAAAAGACAACGCGAGTATTTCTGTCCAAGAGGTTGCACATAATCAGGGATTACCTCACGAGAAGTCCCTGCATCGCTGCAAATAACATCGGCCCAAGTTTATTTACATTATTAATAAAATAAAAGGTTTTTTGAATATTACCTAATGTCGACGACAATAATACCTTTTAAAAATAACGCAATATTCAGGAAAATGTTCTTGCAGATAAACTATATCCGAGTGTACATTTTTTAAATCTGCTGTTAAATTATCATCTTCATGGAATGGAAGGGAGTCCATGCAGTTAATTTCTTTGAACAGATTAGTTAAACTCTCGTTAGTATTTCTAGGAAGAATCAAATCTGATGTACCGATAAGCATCACAGCATCTAGCTTTGTGTAAGTTATAGGGAAAGTTTGTGGGTTGTTCTTAAATACTAGTTTGAGCATTTTGGTTTTAAATTTACACGGGTGCGATAAGGGCGGGGAAAATAATCTTGATGTTGGGGACACAATCTGAGGCGACCCATTCCACAACTGAAACCACTGATTATTAGAATCTTGAGCCCAAATTTGAATTACTCTTCCAGGATTAAGTATTTCGTAAATAGAGACTCTGATCGGATATACAGCTTCATGAAACTCAATATCTGTAAAATAAAATATATATAATTATACTTTCCTAAAAAGAAACATATCTTCTTTAAGAATGTCTCATTTATCAAATCAAATATTACATACCAATGTAATTATTTTCTATCTCGCCACAGCGATCTGCAAAATCAAGGTTACTTTCAGGACTTCTGTTTTCCCATGGAGATGTTGAAATATGTTCATCAAAAGTACTCTGAATTAAAAAGTCAAGAAGTATCAAATAAATATAATGTCAAATACTACAGACTCTTGTAAGTATAATTTGCGATTACTTTTCACGGGACAATGACATATAATATTAGGAAATACACATACCATCATACCTCCTTGAAAAAATGGTAAATAAAATAGTTCTCCATAGCTTTGAAATTTGGGTGGCCCAATCACGTCAGGAGCAGTATGAAATATGCTATTATTCCTGTGGTTCTTGGCAACAAATCTTTTCTTCACAAATTGATAAATGAAGTCAACACTGTCCTCTTCTCCTACGGATACCCTGCCGATATAGGGATATTGACTACAACTCTCATCGCAATATAAAGGTTGACTATACGATGCCATATTTTAATTCTCTCTGAGAAAAGATAAAAAATATACAGAATAATCTTTGCTTTTGTAGCATACGCTAAAGTGCTACAAAATAATATCATATATTTATAATTATAGCGTATTATTATATAATCTAAGTTTATCTTGCTTCCATTCACATTGATAGTATTGACATTTTGGTTTTGCATGTGTACGTGACGCAACTAAACCTTAACGACGTCTTTAAGACGTCATATGTTTTGATGTGCGTGTTGTCTGGGATATTTCATTATTAAATAATTAAAATTATAAAAACAATTTCTTAAAATTTTTCAAAATAGTGAAATATTTCTTTCTAATATCTAATATGAAGCATTACAAGCACGGTGCTTTGTGTTCTTTTTAAAAAAAAATTTAATTTTAACAAGACATATATATGTATCCATCTGCATTAAATATTTAATATTTAAAAAAAGACAGTTTCTTAATTATTTTTCAATAGAGAAAATGTTTTTTTGTAACCTGAGATATACGCGAGCACGTGTGTGTTCTATGTTCTATGTTCTTCTACCACGTGGTGACACATGTGCACGAGCACCGAAGAAGAAACAAGAAATTGTAAAATTTAGATGCTCACATATGCTTAATTTCTGACTAAAATTTTTTGTATTTTTTAATGTTAGTTTATGTATCTTTTATATCATGTTTTTATAATACGTAATAGCGATCTAACAATAATAAGTCGAACAAAAAAATACGGTGAATAAAGAGAATTACCGGAAATTTAACTCGAAACTGAATCAAAAAATTAATCAGAAAAACTAATTTCTATCAATTTTTATACTACTTACACTGCAGGTTTTTGACTTTGTCCGTATAAAATGAAAAAATCACGAAAGAGAAGAAATGTTGGAACATGCGGTTGGTGAGCGCACACTTCTGTATGGGTCCATATTTATATTATGGGAGCTTTCCAGCAAGTGACACAGCTTCTGGAGGATTCACACTGCGTCCGATGTTCGACGTACGACGATCCGACATCCAATAGGAAATTTTTGTCTCTAATAATAAATTCTGTTATTGGATGTCGGATCGTCGTACGTTGAACATCGGACGCAATGTGAATCCTTTATTCCTCTTCCTATATACTAGACTATGACTATATAGTGATGCCTGACTCTTAATCGATTCATCGAGAATCAATTTTCTTTTATTTAAAAAAAAATCGATTTTTTTATCGATTCTTGAAATATCGATTTTTCGTCGAATTGATTATTTTGGACTTGGATGGAGGAAATCAACGTTCTTATGTTTTTCATTAGTAACCTAGTGTTAAATTTCAGCGAATGTGTGCAACACGCGTTTACTTTTTTTTTTATTGAAAAATGTTTTTTTGTAAATCTGAAATATCGAGCACACGTGTGTATTCCATGTTCATCTATCGCCACGTGAGCACCAAAGAAAAAAATTTAAAAATTGCAAAATTTAGATTGCTTACGTTCGCTCCATTTATACGATTAATAATTTCTCTGACAATAAATGACTAAGATTTTTCAAAGTGTATTTTTTATTTTCAATACGTGTTATAACGACTAATTGCAAGTCAAACAAAAGAATACAGAGACCAGAGAAAATTATTAATTATTTTAGAAATTTGATCCAAAACTAACTAAAAAGATGGTAAGAGTTCTGTATATACGATCCCCCTCCGATTCTCTCTCTCTCTCTCTCTCTCTCGATCTACTTTTGCAGTCACGTAATTGTATAAGCGACAACGATTAATTTAGTTTAGAGACGAGAAAAAGATAATCGAGACTCTTTAACATCTGTATCGGTTTTAATTATTAAGGTTTAATCAAAATAAAAATCTCTTTCAGAAAATCGAGGTAACTTAATTGATTCTCATCGATTGTGTTATATTATCACGTTATATTCTGTTATTGTCATTTAAGAAGAGAGTAAAATAAAAGAAAATATGTTTGCGGAATACATGTATATATATTATTGCGAGATATTAATTCAAACGTAATATTTTAATATTTTAAAATTTATCGTGTGGTTCTTTAGTAAATCGAAGAAAAAGAAGGGGGAAAACGTGTAAAAAAAAGTGTTTTACGTATGTCTCAGATCTATTTCGCGCTCTCGGGAGGAGGATAAAATAGGGAAAACTCAGCGGAGCGTGTTATCTGTACCAAGGACATTGTTTTTATTGCGGTCGCGCGAACGGAGGCGATAAAGAGACGCTTGTTGCTTTTTTTTCCATCGAGGTATTTTCCAAAGTTTGAACGGCCGCGGCGTGGGGACGCCGAGTGAAATATATAAGGACGTCGGCCGTTATATGAGCGGATCTTTTCGCGATGATCTCGCGGGAGGAAATCGTTGAATCGCAAAGATGTTTCCGGTCTCTCGTAAACGTATATGAAATCATAAACGTGGAAAACAATCTGGGTAAGTACAATCCCAAAAACTTAAAGAGTCATTAGGCCGGTATTCATAGTCGATTCTTATATTTAAGACCATCTTAAGTACAATCTTAAGATGTCATTAACCAATCGCAGAGCCGTATTAGCATCTTAAGATATTACTTAAGACGGTCTTGAAATAAGATCTGATTATGAATACCGGCCATAGATTGGTGATTCATTATCTTATTTAAGATCGTCTTAAGTTTATCTTTAGATACTGTACGATTCATTCCATTAGCTATGGAGTTAAGATGACGATCTTATATATAAGATCTGACATGAATACTGGCCATAATGAGGTCAAGGTGACGTTAAATGGGATTTTTAAGTAATGTCATCATGAGCATTATGTTCTATCTGGGCAATCTGGGACGCCAAGCCGAACGAGATATTAATTTTTGTACATTTTTGGCCAATTGCGATGTATTTTCCAATCCTAGTGAAAAAATTTCTTATATTTTCTCAGAAATTTTCAAAGAATTTTTCATCAAATTATTTTTCAGATTCGTAAAAAATTCTGAAAAAGATGTTGACTTCTCAGAAATAATTGGACGAGGATTTTCGAAATATTTCAGTATCTGTAATATATATATATATATATGAAAATTTCTAATAAGTTGGATGAATTTTCTCATATTTATTTAGATTTTTATAAAGATGTGTCGGCGAGAAAAATATGAATGATTCTGAGAAAGTTTTAAAATTTTCATAAAATTCTTTAATAATGACAAAAAATTCCGAGACATTTTCCCACCGGGGAATTTATCTACATAGATCTCACATATAGAGTAATTACATATCGATAAAGGCATTTTTGAATATTTTAAAAATGTCGAATCAACGTCCCTAGGAGACAAATCTCTGCGCTGAGCCCAATTGCACAAACGTAAAGCGACAAACGGGAAGCCGAGTGGCTCCGAGTTTCCGCTGCTCCGAATTTGAATTTGGCGCGGGAGTCCGTCGTCGGGTCCCGGTTCCGGTGGTGCCCGTCGCTTCCGCCGCGCGTGACTTCGTGCCCGACAGTGCCGACACACTCGCCGCGACGACCAGCTGCGCAGCTCTCTCGCTGCTTCGGGGACAACTTCAGATGCTTCCGAGCCACGGAACGGGACGGACGCGCGCGTTTGTTGGTGTCGAGTCGTGAGTCCGCGCGGTATCGTGTTCCTTTTTCCCCTCCTTCGCCCCACCTCCCTTTGCTCCGAGAAAAGAGACTGACACCCCGGCTGCGGTAAGGGTAGACACCCCGCGAATACATTCGATTGAGTAACTCGCGCGCGCTTCGAGGCCCACCTTCAATCGTTCGTCGTTCCTCTCGTCGTCGTCTTCGTCGTTTTTTTTCCTCCTCCCTCCTTTCCCCCCCACCCTCCTCCCTCATGCGTCGTCCGAGCACGCGGTCGAGCACGCGCCGACCCGAGATGCGCCACCAGGTATTTATGTAGTACCGACCACTGCCGCCTTCGAGCGTCGCACACCCGCCACCCCCGTCGCATCGGAAGGGAGGAAACAACCACCCCGGCATCTCCCGAGGAAGACTCGTCGCCGTCGTCCCCGTCGTCGCCGTCGCCGTCGCCGTCGGGCAGCGTGAGTGAGAAGGCGAGGAAGAAGGCGAGAGAGATATTCCGATTCCGGATTCGGGAACGGAAGTGGAGCCGACGACGATGGATCAGAAACGCGTGTACAAGTTGGTGCTGACCGGAGGTACGTACGTAATCACAGGGGGGTACAGGGTACAGGCTGGAGTAGACGGTGGCGTGGATCGGACTCCCGAACTCCGTTCCGGGAGCCCGACTCGCCGCTGAAAACTCGCTAATTACCTCGCGACGTCGCGAGCGAGGACGAGCACGTCTGCGAGAGCGAGCACGCGGAGTCTCTCTCATTGATTTCTTTTTTTTTTTCCCTTCGGAATTTGCATACCCGAAGACGCAGACCGTCGCTCGCTCGCGCGCCAGATCTCGAAATAATTCGAGCAAGTAATTGGAGTTTTTTATTCGGGGAGATACAAAGTATAACGAGGAGCTACGGAGAAAAACTCTCGACAATGACACCGCGTATTACCTTGGGCTATTTTACATATTTATCTCCTCGGTCTATTTTGAAACCTAAAATGCGCTCGCGCGCGCACATTTTCACAGCCGAGTGTCCGATTTCTTATTTCTCGGTTCGTCTCGCATCGGTCCGTTGGCTTTTGCAAAAACTTCCGGCCGCCGCTGTATCACTTTGCATTTACTTTGCAACATATATTCGCGTATTTCAAAATGGAATCGAGCGTTCCGTCTAATCGCGCTTCTCACCATCTGCGCTTCTTACGTCATAGATAAACACGTGGGAAAACTGCGTGATTGAGAGAATCATCCTTCCGAGGGTGAAGCCTCGAAATTCCGGGGATCGGAAGAAAAACCGGCGTCAATCGCGATAAAATGGAGTAAAATAAAATGAGAAATCTTGGAAAATGCGCGAGTTCCCGGCGAAGCACGTGCTTCGCTTTTAACTCCTCGAGTTATTTTTGCAGCCGCGCCAAGTTCTTCAGGTATAGTCTCCGTTTTTTAACGCGATGCGCACATGTGTTCCGCTCCCCCCTTTTTGCTTCCTTTTTTAAATCTCTCGTGCGGACAACGGGAGAATAGGACGCGCGAAGACTTTTTCGCTAGCGAGAGAGACGTTTTTCTCCCGGCCGGCGTGTGACGGCGGCGGAGCACGTGGGACGCGGGGACCGCTCGCGTTTTCTCTCGCTCGCTGGATCAAGTCTTAACGAGCAGGGTCGGGAGATCTCCCACGGTCGAGAAAAGAAAGAAGAAAACGGGAAGCGCGTGCTAATAATTGCCGGCGCGAGCTTCCGTACGGAGTCAGCATCCCCGTTTTCAATGTATAAATTGAAGTATGATTCAATAATAATTTTCAATGCAATGAAGCTCTGGCGTCTTTCCAGAGAATTCTGGACACGTTTCAGGAAAAGGTTCTAACGACGAGGTGCGAAGGAACGGAGATTCCAAAGTACAGAGTGCCTATACTTTTACTCTCCTCGTTACGGAAATGGGTCATAAATTTGTTTCAAGGTTGATTAGGGTCCTGTACCCTTCGACAGAACGAGATATCCCTCGGAAATTCTTGAGAGAAAGGATCTCCGGATTAGGATAGAAAGAATTTCCAACAATAACAAAACACGAAGCAAGTACTCCATATTTTTAGAAATCCCTGTTTCTTCACGCTTATCGGAATTCTTCTTGAAACTGTCGAGAGCTTTTCGGGGCTGGCGTAGAAAAGAGATACGGCGATAGGGACGCAGGTAGTATATCGCAAATTCCGTTCGTTACATCGAAATTTGTAAATGGGACATCGAACTCGACGGGGTTCATCTCGTTCGTGCGCGGCTATGACGCAGCGTCGCACTGTCTCTCGTCTCCCTCGCGACGTTTTGCAATGTTCGTTATCGTGGCCACGCGCGGATGCCGATCGATTCCACGCGCCACGCAGGGACACCAAGGGACACGCGGCCACAGCTGTACCGGGTGACCTGGGAGAAGGGTGTCTCGCGGAGAACGGGTCTCCGTTCGGATGAATTTTCACCTATCCCGACCGTGCGGACGAAATTTCATCCCCTACTCCCTACTTGTTTTATTTATTTTTTTTTACTTGCGTTAGTTGCATTATTCCTTTGTTGCCCCTCGCCGAGTTGCCCGCTTGAATTGCCGGCGTCGCTCGTCCATACGAATTTATCGACTCGATAGCCGATGTTGAATGTAAAACAATACAAAGTACCGGGTGCACGCTTCTCACAATCAGACATTTCTCAGACAGACGCCCGCCCGCGTCGCATGAGTCACGGCTATTTTTTCCCCCTCGGCCCCGATAAGCGATATTTTCTTACGTTTGTTTTCGTCATTTCAGATAGATAACAACCGGAAATTACTCGAATTAGTTCAGCAGATAGTGTGAACGACACGATAGATAGCCTTGTCGGTTTATCGTTGACAACCCGTTATCTTTTGGCGGACAGCGAAAATTATCTACGACAACCTGATGCTATATACACGACGTATGCGAGAATTGCGAGACGCAGAAGAACGGTTGCAAAATTTTAACTTCGACGAAGGAACGCAGAAGAATCTGAGTTGCTTATGAATATACGGAGAAACCTTGAAAATTGTGAGAGCAACGTGCTTCTCTTTATTTCGCCCGGAAATTTAATTTTCACGCGATCGCGAGGGTTCACGCAGCAATGCGTCCAAAAAAAACAAAGGAAAATAAGATATTCTTTTCCTGAAGATGCTGAACTTTATTTAGGCATCAATACGATTCGAACGAGATCTCCCGAGCTTCGTGAAAGACAGGAAAATTACAGCAAAGAAAATCTTACAGGAGAGGATGTGTTCTTCTCAAAAATAGTCTAAAAAATAACGTTATATTGTTTTTCATCGCTCGAAGGAACGAATTTCATTGTATTTTTTATGGGAGGAGCGTAGAGGCTCAAGGAGTTCTGTTCTGTATTGCTTTGGGATAAGCAAGGGTGGACGTTGATGGATTAGATTAGATTAGATACTTTAGTGGGGAGAAGCCCGAAAAAAAGACCGGAATTCTTTTAGATGCTGAGTCGCGGCGCGATTGCATACTTTATTTTAGGATCAGGTCGCGCGCGACAGGCTCAAAATTCGCTGCCATCCCGATATGCATAACGAGCACGATTTATAACGTCGCGACGAGTTAATAGTTAATAGCCGGGGCCGACGCGCACCAATTGCGATCAATTTGACTTTTATTGACTGTCTGCCTTCTCATATGCTCGTCATTTATTTTATGTAACGAAAAACAAGCCAGGAGAAGACGTATAATAGTTGCTTTCCATTTACACTCAAGTGATCTGAGTCACTCAGATATGTGTAGTATTTTATACTCAGGTAAGATGTGTCATTTCGTATTTACCTGCTTGTTTTGGTGACAAAGCTATCGTATAACAATACAGGTCCATAGCCTCACTTTTAATCTGAGTTTATTTGATTCGTTAAAGCACGCGGTCTCGATTGTGGATAAAAACTCAGTTGAATCTCACTTGCCAGCATGCAAAAAGAACGTTTGCATTTAACTGAGTTATGACGTCACAAGTGAGAATTATCTGAGTTTTGATGTAAATGGAAAGCAACCAATATCGCGAAGTAAAAGGTTTCACGCGCGCAGAAACGATTCGCACGTGTGGATCTCGCGTGAAATTTTTTCGAGGAATCTCGGAGCGGCCGATGTCTAAACCACGTGTTCTCGTGATTACAGGACCATGCGGCGGCAAGACAACCGGGCAGGCCAGGCTGTGCACCTTCTTCGAGAACATGGGCTGGAAGGTAGGTAGAACCCTTTGAGCCTTAAGAACAAAAAGCTTTCCGCGAGAGAAAGAAAAAGAAAAGAGAGATCTTCATTGCGAGAGTTTTCTCCCCCCTGACTGACCTTTTGCTTTTCTCTCCGAGCGACGCTCGCTCGATGCCACGTTAGATTCGATTCGACAGACGCCGTACAGTATACCTTAACGTAAGGGTAGTTTCGTTATTATTGACGGTATATAGCCGGGAGAAGGGGATGATTATTTATTCTGCATAGAGTCTACCGTACATACGTATTACTTGCAGAACGTCGTTCGATTGTCGCGTGCTATACGATAATTCGAGTCAAGGATAATGCATTTATGGCATAATCTAGCTTTTTCCGTAGCTCGTCTCTCTCTCTTTCTGGAGCGAGATTCTACCTTGCAGTAAGTCGCAGTAGTCGCACAGTGAGTCGCAACTGCGTATAGAGGTTGATTCTAAGATATCACAGCTCGTTCGAGCTTTGCGGAACATATTTCAATCGATTCGAGTCTTTCTTAAAGAAAAAAAAGAAGGAAAAAAAATTATTATGCAATGATCAGCAATGATCTTTAAATTGTTCCAATTAAATGTTACAATCTTGTCGCGATTTGAGGCTTGTAGCCGAGCAGAGATTTTTTTCGAAAAGAGACGCGATCTAGTTTCGGGGGGCTCTTACCCTTCGTTTTGGATTCGATAGAGCGGTGGTTGTCTTCTTTTTCAGGTGTTCCGTGTCCCCGAGACAGCGACCGTGCTGCTCAGGTATGCAATTATACGATCACAAGTTTACAAAAGAAAAAAAAAAGAAAAATAAATAAAAAGCGAGAGAGAAAAAAAAAGAGAGAAGTTGGAACGAGAGTCACCCTTGGACAAGTACGGTTTTCTTTCGAATTAACCCTGGAATGCCCTGACGATGTGAAGCGTCTGAAGAACAAAAATAGATCGAGAGATTAATCAATTTGGAAAATTTGTCGAAATTAACAGGAAATACGAGGATAACAGGAAAGTCTCGCAAACCCTCGGGTGTATGCGTGTGCTTTACGCATTGCAGGGTTAAAGGAAGTTCTTGAAGAATGAAATAAAGCCGTTCGCCCCCTCTCGCCTCTCGTTCGAGTCAAGATTGTGTCGCGAAGGAAAAAAAAATAATTCGCGAAACAGACTCCGCGGAGTAAATATTAAATGAGCAATTTGCATTTGCGTCGCAAAAGCCGCGCAAAAACTTCAAGATCGCTCCATCGGGTGTGGCTGGAAAATTTATTATAAGTTTGTACATTGATTCCATTGATTTCATTCCCGGGAGAAACGGTATAGTATTGTAGCATTCGACAGTGAGACGTTTGAAGGCGATTTATTTATTTATTAAGATGGTCCGCGTATAACACGATAAGCTTCCTTCAATTGCCGCTGCGGTTGCAGCTGCGAGATATTTAAGACCGTTCCAGCGTCGCAATTGCGTTGTATAAATATTCGTTCGATTAAACTCAATTAATTTAAACGCTCGTATTGTAGCGCGTGCCTCACGCAATTGTCTCATATCTGCCGTCTGCTTTCTTTCCATTTCAGTGGCGGCATCAAGTTTACAGACCTGAACGCGGAGGAGGGTAAGTTTGCTGATTATATCATTTTTTTTTTCATACGCTCCCTTTCACCCCCACGTTTCTCTTTTTACACTCACGTGCTCTTTCGATTCTTGACAGCGTATATCCTAAAACGTGAAAATTTTCCAATAATGTAGACACGCAGGGAAATTAGCACAGGAACGATCCCCCTCATCCCCGCGCGACGCGAATCAGGCTGCAGCTGCAGTAATTGACGTAATTAATTAGAGAAGCGTCGAACTGTCTGTCTCGACTCAGCTCTGGGATTCGTTCGTCCGGCCGTGATGGAAATTACACGGATTAACTGTCGGGAACCTGTGTTGTTCTTTTTTTTTCCTCTTTTCTGATTTTCTGAAACAAACCCGCCAGGGAAGGCGGGTGCGAGACATTAATTCTCGCCGACCTTGGAAGTCGCGGCTCGGATGCATTGCCCCGGTAACACGACGGATTGCGTCAACCGGCGCAATCGCGACGTGAGTGAGAACAAACGCGGACGGAAAAATCCCAAGCTTTGCACCAGAGCGCGGGGAGAGACAGCAGAAGAGAGAGAGGAAAAAAAAAAAGACTTCGTATCTCGATGACGGCTAAAAAAAAAGGATAAAGGAAACCAGTCCGACCTGTTGTCGCGTATGAAACGTCGGATCCTTGAAAGCTTCGCCGCGGAACTCACCGGTGAAGTTTAAGTTCGGGCATGTCTCTCCCAGCCATGTCCGAAATCGGGACGTAAGACGTCTTTTAGCTATCATATCGTAAGACGTCTTAAAGATGTCTTCAAAACGTCTTATGTCTCGATTTCGGACATGCTGTCTATGCGTCTCGTTGCGCCCGGAACAGCTGCCGAACGGTCGTTTGACGAGATGTGCGCGATGTGGAGCTTACTTTCGTTAACCCCGGTGTCCACGATGTTAGAACTGTGTCCAAGTTTCGGTTTAAGCCAATCAACTTGCAGCTCTTACAGAAAAGTAGCATCAGTTTCATTGGCTTAAACCGAAACTTGGACACAGTTCTAGCATCGTGGACACCGGGCCTTACAACACAGCCCGATTGCATAACGATTAAAATTTCTTGGCCTATATATGCTAAACTTGGCCTTCCGTTCTATATCGTGTATCGCGCGGGGGACTTTGTCCGATCGTTAGGCGAAATTTCAATTATCTCGTCCTGTCGGTTTTATTTACGCCTCGCGGCCGCGTCAATTGGTCCAACCCCGGGTCTATTTTTAAAATCTCTTGCACCATATTATTTCTCCCCGCAAATATAACTCTTCGTACTTCGCGCGGAACGTATTGTGCGCGCTCGACCGAGCTGTCGGTACGTTTTCAGGGACGTGTGTCTGTCTTTCTTTTAATTCTTAAAACGTCCCACCTGGCAGCGCATATGTCGAGGTTGAACTGAAAAGTTTTGCTGTAGTGCTCGAGATAAGATAATAATTTTGCTACGTCGGTGGTCATCGAAACGCTCGTTCGCCCTTACGTAAGGCGATCGTGCGACTACTGCGACTTTAATCAGCTCGCCCTTGAACGAACGAACGCGAATGTCAGGCTTCCCCCGCTTACGTTTTTTGCGCATACGTTTTATCATCCGTCGCAGATATATACCGTGTTCCGAATCTCTTATACAATTTTTGTACGAGCTATAACGCTCCTGCCAAGTAAACGTCTCATATAATTAAGCGCGAGATAATTTATCACATTAAAGTGGCGCGATTCTTTCAGTCGAAGCATGTGACAATATTTGCAAAATGTTTGCAAAACATCTTGCAAAAATCTTGCGATTTCTCGAGCATTACGGAAATATAAAAAATAAGACATTCGTAAGATTTTACTTTATTCTCATTCGCTTGCATTTCGTACTTAAAATTTTATTGCGATGATTTGGCGTTCTTGAGAAATTTTAGGAGCTTAAATTTGTCAACTTGATTCGCCATGAGACGTAATTAATTGGAAAGAAATTTCGTTTTGATGTTTGCGACGAACCAAGGACTAAAAGCTAAAAACGTCACGGATTATTACCGCCTTTATTTCTATATCCATTTGTCACTCGGCTATTTTTCCGCGAAGGCACATTCGTCAGTTGGAAAAGAAAAACTGACGTTTGTGAAACTTGAGCGCGGTAATCCGATTACTTCTCATCGTCGACGATATTAGATCCTTGACATTAGCCCGTTAGGTTCGTCCAAGAAGAAGCAGTTTCGTTTAATTTCGTTTAAAAAAAAGAACAAGATTGAAAAAAAAAGAAATAAAAAGATTGAACTATAAGGAAAGGAATAGGGAATAATCGAAGAATCCCAAACTTCGTAACTTCGTATCTTCGTTCAGTAAGAGCTCCTTTCATCCAGTTCCTCTCGACTCGTCTTTTTTCCTTCGCGATTCGATCATCGGGCGCAAAAGCGTGATATTGTTTTCAACCCGAGTCTCCGAATCCCAACGTGAGGCCAAGATCAAGGTTGATTCTAGAGAATCCGTGTCCTTCGCACGCGAAATCCTCGTGTCTAGATCGTAGGAGCGAGGCTTCCCGCAATGGCGAGGCGAGATGGCCGGAGATCCTGGAGGTCGATTCCGGCGTGGGTGAGTCCGAGTTATCGCGCTAGAGTTTGGGTCTGAGACACGATGAAAATACCGGTGTAAGACGCACAAGGAAATCAGCGATTAGTCCGAAAACATTTTAGATTTTTTTTTTATTTCTACCTTTTATTATTCTAATTTTCCACCGTGTCGCTTTTATCTTCAGCGTCTAGTAAATTGCATAGGAATTTATTTTATATTTTTATATATTTATATAAAAATTTATAAAAATATTTATATAATATAATATAATAATATATCATTCTTGATTCTTTCTAAAGAAATAAACGATTTAATTCTCTTCGAAGAATTGTAGGATAGAGAATACTTAACTGATGTTACGAAATAGATATTGATCTAAATGAAACGGAAGGCAAAACAGATTTCCAAGTTCGCGAAATAATCACCGACTAAAGTAAAGTAAAAAGAACTTCTCAATCTGGTGATCGGAATTTTGTAACTTTGTGAAATGAATACCTTCTTTCAATTTGCCGATTAACAAGTCTTCTTTATACTAGTCAATTGGGTACACTTTTTCGTGCTATCCAGTAGGCGTAGGAGCTTATTTTATCCCTTAGCCGCATCTTTCCGCTTATCGATCGCTTCTCGTAGTCTCGTCCTGCGTGTCAACGCGATATTATGTATTTTATATTCCTTATTTCTTACATTTTTATCTTTATACGCTTCATTGTGTCTCGGCCTTGAAATGCAAGGCACTCTAGAATTCTCTCGCCGACGAGAGACGAATCCTCGGGTATTTCCTCGTCCAGAAATAAATCGAATCTCCTCTCGTCAATCAACTGTGGAATAAAAACATCACAGATACATCTTTTTCTACCTCTTTCAAAATTATTGGCAAAATAATGTACACAAAATCATGGATCTTAAATATTAAAGAAATTGATAAAAAAATTCGCGAATTTTGTTTTTTTTTTTTTTCATGTCACTGGAACGAACGAGGATCGTCCGCCCGTCTCGCTAGGATCTCGCTTGAAAAGGGCTTTAATACGAGACTGTCTTTCAGATAACTCGATTAGTATACTCGCTATAATTCTAAAAATACCGCTCCTAAGAAAGTTTATCGAGCTAAACCGCATTTAGGGCTTTCTTCCTTAGAGCTTCAGGCTCCCTTTATCGTGATAAATGACGCGATTATTCAGGCTAGGCGCTTCAAGTATCGCCGAGGTCCACGTGCAGATCGATCCTACCCAAGCAACACCTCGAAACGAGCGAGCGAGAACATTCGTTGTATAATACCGCATTTGCTTTCACACGTGTGTTGCAGCATTCAAATTTCAGGAAAATCTTTTGCGCACGATGATACAAATCGAGAACACGTTCTTTCAACTGGGTGAGAGCTGTTCGAGGAATTGCCTGATCATCTGTGATCGCGGTGCTATGGACGCCTCCGCCTGTTAGTACAAACTCTGAAAACAATAGAATTAGTTCAGGATTTTTTCCGGTGACGTAAAGATTAATTGGGAGTAATTTTTCACAGTTATTTCGAAAGATAAATGGGAGCTCATGATGGCCTCGAACGGATGGAACAACGTCGAACTAAGAGACAACAGGTGAGACAAATGAAGGATACAAGAAAGCTTGTAACGTCGATACTCGTCTTTGTCTTCGGGAGAATCTATTTTTTGAAAACTAATTACAATTAGTAGATCACCTAATGGAAAAGGTTAACAGTATACCGGCTCTAAGATTTTTTTCATTAGGTGATTTATCAATCGTATGAGCCTCTTTGTATGTAATAACTAATAAATTAATCTTCTCATACTCTTTCATTTTTAGTAGTATTTACTGCTATTAGTCTTGCAGTCCAATGGTATTTAATTTAATATTTTATTTACCACTAAACTCCCGTTTTCTCTCTCGTGTTGACCAGATATAACCAGATCCTCCACATGGTTTCGGCCGCGAACGGCGCTGAAGAGTTCTACTCGACGGAGGAACACGCGTGTCGCTCCGAGGGTGTCGAACTTGCTCGGGAGCTGGATTATAAGGCCGCGGCTTCCTGGGTGGGCCACCCATACTTCGACGTTATCGACAACTCGCAGGATTTCGAGTCTAAGATCTGCCGGATGATCGAGTGCGTGTGCCAGAAACTGGGCATCGACACCGGCGACCGGTTGCGCGCCAGCAGTCGCAAGGTCAAGTTCCTCGTGAAGGCGCCGCTGCCGGCGGACAGCGAGTTCCCGCCTTTCCAGGACTTCGACGTCGTGCATAATTACCTCCAAAGCAACAATCCCAAGATGCAGGCCCGTCTACGCAAGCGCGGCCAGAAAGGTGAATCACCGTGCAAACAACGAAAAGCTCTCCTCATTTGCGACCCAATTAACCATTTAAAGCAATATTATCACTTGACGGGGAAAATTAACTTGTGTTTATTATTATCAAAAAATTCGATAATTCATTTAAAGTGTTTAAGTTAACGGTGCATCGGTCATCGTCATATTTTATTTTCCTACGTCCGAACGACGGATCCGAGCGACGATACAATTTGAATTTTCTATTCTTTAAGGTCACTGGTCATATATCCACACGATTCGCCGACCGAAGATGTGCGGCCAAGTGATCGAGGTGAAGACCCAACTGACGCACCGAGACTACCTGAACATGTTGGCCCAGCGCGACGATTCGCACTTCACTATTTTCAAGCGTCGCCGTTGCTTTCTCATCAACAATCAGTATTTCCAGTTAGACATATACAGAGAACCGGCGCATCCCAGGTAACACCCCAGTATTTCCACGGTTAAATGAACTAAAATGTTGAAACTCTATCTATCTTCGATATCGATAATCGAAAAGTCGATTTCTATATTTATAAAAAAATAAATAAAAAGTAAACTTACAATTAGTGAAAAATGAATCTAAGACATCTTATACGATTGGTTTTTCTATGCTTGGCGATAATGTTTGCATGCAAAATATATCTTGAGAAATAATTTCGTATAAATAGTTCGATTATAATTAACTTCAAGATTCAGATTATTTAATAAAAAAATTAATATTAAAACTCTTTTGCTTCCACTAAGATCCTTTACTTCAAAATAAAAGTCGTTTTTCTCGACCGAACTGGCCAAAAACAATTTTATTCTTCACAACGTTTCGACCACATTCTGGTCCTTATCAAGTGAATTCGAACCACGCACACAACATTTTTTAATTCGCTGACATTAGTGCCCAAACCATATCATGCAATCGCAAATCTAGAATCGCAAAAACGCAGTAGTCAATAAGATAAAATCATGACAAGTTACCAAGTCTATAACATAAAGTGAAAAATCCTTTACTTCACTCTCACGTATGTATTTATTCATCGTAAGAGAGGGAAGGACATTGTGTTAATCTAAATGTAACTTCGTGCGCACTTTACAGATGTCGAGGCTTGATGTTGCTCGAGACCTACACGGCGTTGACGGGTGACGAGCTGAAAAACATTCTGCCTCAATTCCTGACGATTGAGAAGGAGGTCACCGGCAATCCGGATTATAGCATGTTCAATCTCAGCTTACGCGAAGAATGGAATAGCACCAATAAATATTGCCACGGTACTGTATTAGTATATTTAAATTCTGTAACTGTAAGGATATCTATGTTTTTGTTACACAAGCGCATTCATCTTACATATTTCTTTCTCTTCTATCTGTTAGGCTCGGACTAGAAAAGTTGTACTTATATAACCGTAGTTTTACGTATAAGCGTAGAGAAACGTAGCTCGATGATTCAAACTTTTTCGGCCATTCGAGCTTCACGTATTTCAACCGTGCTGAAGAATAGCGTGCTAAATAATAGATTATCTGAGGTGACTAATGATAGAAACCGCTATATTAGAACGCAAACGATCTAACGCTCGACATTCCATTTTGCAGGCATCATGCAATTGGCAGAGAGTCAAAGTGCCCCGATCTCGAAGAGTCTAACGACCGAAGTGCAAAGTAACGGACTCGATTTCAAAACCAGCAGCGCATTGGGTTCGATTACAAACCGTCAGCAAGCGATCGTCAAGAAGAGCATCCAAAACGGTCTGACGAACGGTAAAGCGACATTCGCCGAGCGATGTAACATGAACGGCGACGGCCAAAAGCTGGAAGTGCGCAATTCGACCATGAGGCCGGAGGAGAGTTTGCGAGAGTTAAAGGTCGATAAACCGCAAAAGAACGGATTTGATTAATAGATTCTAATGCGGAAAATTGAGTAACAGTAAAGTCTTTTTAATAATAAGCGATTCGCGAATATTCCGAGCTGTAGCACAGGGACTTAACGTTATCAGTGTCGGCGCGAATTATCTGAATTAATATTGAATGAACTACTAGTGCGATAGTCTTCTATATAAAATTTCACAGATAATATCTATTTTTTAATCAAACTTGCGTGTCGTACTTAAGGAACTTTCATGAAAGGTCTTACGGTCAGTTTCGTCAACGTCGATTAAACTTGGATCAGAATCAAGAGATCCAGTGTAAATCTTTCGAAAATTTACGACGAAATTTCAGAAAGTCTCAAGATATCTAAAAAATTTTTGAATAATACATTTGTCATTCTCTCAACATTTTCTTACAATTTTAAAAAATTCCTAAAATTTTAAATGAAGAAATATTTGGAGGGAAATGTCGATTATATATACATATATATATATAAAATTGTCACTTTCGTCAAATGCTTGTGTGATATTTAATATCGATTTCTGGTAAAAATTAAGTTTTACCAGATTCACCGTAACTTATTATCACTTCTTTTTAAATTTCCGCATGAAAGAAGAGAAGAATGAGCCAAAGAGATAAGTTAGAGATGAATTGAACAAGAGCTAAAGTTACGCGACATTGATGAAACGAGGTCCTAGCATGTTTTCAATACAGCTTCATTAAATGAGCGATGTGCATTGATGCATCAAGTGTTTGTACTTCACTTTACTTTAGTCCAGTTTTACTCTTTATACGCCTCAAGTATTGTCTAACAACCATCGAAAGCTCGAAAGAACGATTGTGATAGAGAAATGCGCGTATCGTATTGCGAGAAATCGACGTTTGGAAACGTGATTTTCTCAAGAAGAAAGAGAAATATCGACGCATTTTAAGACAGCAACGTTATCGGGCCACACACCGTAAGAAACGGTTGAAAAATTCTCTTGAGACTATCGCAAAATCTTTTGGGAATCTTTAAGGAATTCAAATGTGTTAAATATCTCTGTAATGTACTTAATGTCAAAAAAAAGATCACAAAAGACGTTAAAAATTTATGTTCCAACGATATTGTAGTATTTTGCGATACATAGGTGATACAGTAATGCAATATCGAAGTTACAGGTTTTAAAGTGAGCTATCAGATCTCTAGCACTTGTATACATTTCTATGTATATCAGAAAAAAATTTGATATTAAAATATTTCGTAAAATCCTTGAAGCACGAATTTTACGCAGATATACAATCATGTGATTGTTTTTTATTTTTTAATTAATACCGGATATTGTAAATTTGAAAAATGCTTGGAAATTTGCTTGATCGCGAAATAATAGTTTATGTAATTGGAGAAAAGAATTGAAACCTGTATAACTTTTTAATGATGTTATTAGTCGAACTATTGCTTTTAAAGATTTCTAATATATATATTTATATCTCTTTTTATCTTTTGAAAATTAAACTTTTTCAGATTTCAATTTTTATAGGACAATTGAATTGTAAAAAGTTCCTGACTTTAAGGATTGAAGATAGTACTTACAAGGCTATATTCGAAATATTTTCGAACAATTAATGCGAATTTATTCTCCCTTTTATCGTCGGGCAAGCCAAAGTTTTCTCATTTTTTTATAGAGTATTCTCAAGCTTTCTGAGATTTGTACATATTTCTTTAGGATGTAGGAATTTCTAATTTTTTAGATCTCGAGAAATTATAATCTGATAACTCACTCGAAAAATATGGCAATGGCGTAAAATAGCCTGTTGTTGCAATCACGGCGAAATCTTAACGATCGAATATATCAGTACTTAATAGGTGCTTGCCTATAGAAGTAATTAAGTTAATTGTATATAATGTGGCGCAATTATTTTTGTCGAATCTACCCATTTCTGTGATTAATTGTAATATGTGTTGTCGATGTAATCGCGAGAGATCTCACTGACAGAGACGAGAGATTTGCTGAAAAAAAAAAAAGATTACGAGAGATAAGTATGATTAAGAGGATTAATGATAGAAAGGTGATTTGCGAGATCTTATATTTTGCTCGTGACCCTAAAACTTGATGGTGAGTTCTGCGATGACGCTTACCCTCACGTGTCGCTTTCGCATTTTCTACACGCCAAACTGATCATTCACAAATTTTTGCCACTGTTTAGAGACGAAGTGCCTGTGAAACATTCATTCGCGGAAATAAAGAGAAAGAAATATATATGTATATATATATACATATATTATATATATAAATATATATATATAAAAACACGAAAGTCTATATTTTCATTCGATGATGCAACAGTGAGTTATCAATGCGCACTCAGTTTACGTAGATAATGAATCTGAAAAACAAAACGTTATATCTATATAAGCGTCTAATAAAACAATGTCACGTGCCTATCATGTCTTATATCTCCACCATATACTAAACCTATTCAGATCGTTTCAAAAAATGTATTGCCTCTGATTACTTCTTTCTCATTTAACAATCAATATTTTTGAGTAAAATTCCATTTCAGAGGGTTTGTGATTAAAGATACATTTTTTTGAATAGGCCTGAAAGAAAAAGGCGCATCCTTATTAGTTTTTATCAATTTCTCGTAATTAACTAATTAAAGCAAATTTGAAATATTTGCTTTTTTTAACTATATGGCAATTCTTTAAAGATTTTTATACACTTGCTATATATATTTTGATATACTGGGTGTAGAAGAGAGTAATTAAGCAAGACGTTGTTTCAGCACAGCTGAATCATTTATTGGCAACCTTTTAGAAATCCTCGGAAACCGAGGAGCCTCTTTTAAGTCACGATAGTTACGATAAACTTGAGGTTTCTCACTGTTTCTCCTATTTTGATCTATTATCGCAATTATTTTCTTCTTCTCCAACAGGTAATTAACACGTTAGTAAAACATTGTTTAACCACTTAAATTGGATAAAGTTAGGTAAACATTTAGTTTGTCCTTCTATTTTATTTCGATCTATTATCATAATTACTCTTCTTCGTTAGAAAGATTAATGTATTAGTAAATGACTTTGCCGTCATTCGCAATATCTACCAATATTGCAATTACATTCGATTTCGAATTTGTTTCGTCGATCGCCGTGTAAGGAAATGTAAAATAAACATTTGTCTTATAAAAGAGGGATGTAATCAAGCATATGCGCTTCGATCAATCCTAAATTCACAAAAAACGCATGGAAGTATTGTTGTCAGGTATACAGAATGTTTCTTCGTATGTGGAAAGGGGTATTGTAACACCAAATTCGTCGAATATCATCACGTGTTATTACAATATATATTCTGTGTCTGGATTATAAAACGTCATTTTGGTATTCTCACGAACGAACAGTACTGTTGAATGTCTAGTAAATAATTGGCTAGTAACGATAAATATGGAAAAACAAGATAACAAGAAGACATGTATTTACGAGTTCGTTGCGTTACGAAAGACGAATCTTAAGAAGCACACGCGTCCGTTTTGTGCGCGCAACGGGAATCTTTCGCGAATTTATATGAGATAAAAAGTTTCTCAAATAAAGCTCCTATCCTACATATGTTTTGTTCGCGTTGGAAGCATAAATCGGAATTATTTTTTCTTTTTCCTTTGTATACCTACATTGATTTTGTTCGCGAAATCGCGTTTTAATTAAATATTAATCTAAATCTTAGACGAGATCTCGATTAGTCTCATCGCTATACGCTAATGGCTCCCACTTTGCTGATGGGAGCCGTTTCAAATTCGATTCTCGAAAACGTAAAACTCGAGAGCGAACTTAAAACCGTTCACAATGATCTTTTTCGTTTCTCCTGCAATTTTTGCTCTCTCATAATTTCTATCTTCTAAAATCTCATCTAAATTATCCTCTTTAAAAAAATCTTTTTTTTTTTACAATTTGCGCAGGGAAATTGCTCATTGCGCGTACTTTCCGATTCGCAAAAGATACATAACGATTCGGCTAGAAGAACAATTTCATCTCCTACTACTACCCCCAAACGAAGGAATAGTATTCATCTAGTTTTGGTTTGCTGCTGCTGCTGCTGTTGTTGTTGCGCTTTGAACTGCTTGTAGACTTTCTTACTCGGAAGCAACAATTGGCACAGGCCGGGCCTCTTCTTACGCTTTCTGTTCGCTGTCTGATTGTTCTCCTGATCCACCTCATTCTCGTCGTCGTTCGTGGGCGGCAGTATCTGCTGCTGCTGCTGCTGCTGTTGCTGTTGCTGCCCATTATACCGAGTTTGACAGACCAGCGTCTCCTGCGGAGCCCGTAAGGCTTCTAATTCGGCCGCGCTGCGATGCAGATCCGAGTCGTGGGCGAAAGTACAGTTGTGGCCGAAGCGGCAACGACCCTTCCGATAGTTCCAGCAGATCTTGCGGCCGTTTATCATCTTCGTGTCGTCCAGCGTGGGCGTCATCTTCACGTGCTTCTCCAGGATCGCGCTCTTCGCCCGTTCCGCTTCGACAAACGGATTCAGGAATACCGAGGTCCTCATTAACGTGGGCGCGCTGTTGAAATCTGGCGTCGGCAATGGAAGCTTGTCTTTGGAAGCTGTCGTTTCAGTTATTCTCACGTGTCCACCGTTACTCCTGCTGTTCTCCTCCTCATTTTCCTCTGCCTCCTCGTCCTCCTCCCCCTCCGACTCCACCTGCTCCGCACCCTTGAAGCTAACGGTGAGGCAATATCAGATTACAAAGAACAAGCCGCATTCTGTACGTATAAACCGGTTGTTGAACTTAAACGAGTGCTTGGCAAAAAAAATGTATCCTTTTTTCCAATTTAATGTTATTAATAAGTATTGAAAAATGCGACTGTCTCCCCCTTAGTGTCAAACACGATGTCTTGCGTCTTGCAATTCGACGGATTCCCGCAAGCTCCGTTGGAGCTTGCAGAGATGTTCGCAAGCGCGTCGTGCATCTCGCGAGGAGGAAGATTAAACTGGCGCGGGATCGGTGCGAAAATAAAAAAAAGGGAGAGAAAACAAACCCAGGAGAGGAGATTGACGGAAGCAATCCGGAGGGGCGGGGGCGGTTTTACGCAACGGCCCAAACTTACGCATTGTCCGAAACGTCGTCGTCCGTCTCGCCGTCCGAGCCGGAGGAGGTCCCGTAATCCGCGACCAAGGAAGCCATAATAATCAAGCGATAACTCAGTCGATCCCTACAAACTAGACGAAATCCTAACCGTACGACCTAATTAATCTAATCATCGCGCGAGACCAGCAGACGCCGACGGCGGGCGGCCAACAAACTAACAAATCTTCATCGGGCGACGGGCGGACTCTCGCGAACGGCGCCGGTGGCGCCGTCCGGCGGCGCGTCGCGCGCCGGAACTTCCACCCGGAAATGCGCATTGCGCACCGAAAAGCGATATGGCCATGGCGTCGGCGGATCGGCCAATGGAGAACGGCTTCCATTCTGCCGTGCTTCAAAATTGACGAGGCGACGGAAGGAAGACTGTGAAGACAGGCGTCTCTGAAGGCGTCTTGAATTAACGAGGAAAATGGCGTTATCTTGCGCGAGTAAGTATTCGCGTGAACACGAGTTGCAATTTACGATCGAGCTATCTTTCCTTTTGATCCTCCTGACGTTTAAGCTCGCACGGATGACACTTGTAACGCAACATTATGCTGGGAGGTTTAGAGACTTGTGTGCCGGCAGAGTTGACGAACATAACCTAGAAAACCCTTTGCCGCTTTATTAATGAACATAATTATGATGTAATTATAATACGTAATAATAAAACAGGTGGTTCGCTATAAGTAGAAAGTTTTATGATGGCACAGTCCAATTTGTTAGATTGTAAATTGTATCATTATTAGCGTTTACATGTATTGTTTATACATATATGTGTAAATTTATATGCACAAGTATGCAATTAACAATACTTGTATGGAAGAAAGGTTTATTAATATTTGAATTCTAGCATGATGAAATTTACCTTGAGATTTAACAAAAATGATAAATTATTTCTATAATTTTCAGTTTCCAATGAGGTACCGGAGCATCCAGTGATATCTCCTGCCTCTGGGTCAATATTTGAGAGACGTCTCATAGAAAAGTATATATCTGAAAATGGGGTAGATCCTATTAATGGCAAAGAACTCACTATTGAGCAGCTCATTGATATAAAAGGTACTTTTAAACTTCATTATTTAATACGGTATATTTTTTTTATGTAATTATTTTTGTTATCAAATTTTCTTCTGTTACAGCGACTCCAATTGTCAAGCCCAAGCCACCTAGTGCGACTTCTATTCCAGCAATATTGAAAATTATGCAAGATGAATGGGATGCAGTTATGTTACATTCATTTACGTTACGACAACAACTCCAGACTGCGAGGCAGGAGCTGTCTCATGCCTTGTATCAGCATGATGCGGCTTGTCGTGTGATTGCTAGGCTGACTAAAGAAGTCACTGCTGCCAGAGAGGCGCTGGCCACTCTCAAACCACAAGCTGGAATTGTCCAGGCTACTACAATCCCGCAGCCTGTACGTTATTATTATTTGATCATTTTTTAAAACTTTCTTAAAATGTAAATATTTAATAATCTTAATTAAGTTTCTATAACTTCATTTTTTTATGTTTAAAAAATTACATAACATGTAACTAGCAAACATTGACCTTGGGATATAAATTGACAATTAATTTTCAATTCTTTAATATTTTATTATAAAAAAATAATTTGTAGCTTTGAAATCAGAATGGGTGATAGAATGTAACATTTGCATATGCGTGTGTAATATAATAAGATACTACATTCAGTTATGATGAAAAAATAAAATAAGTACAATTCTGAATAATTTCTATTAATAAATTAAAAATTCTTAACAATTTATATTTTCTTCAGGCTGTGGCAGTAGAGGCTGGTGGCACAGCAGCTCAACCTATGGAACAGGCTGGTATCACTGAAGATGTAATACAGAAACTTCAAGAACGAGCAACCGTTCTTACTCAAGAGCGAAAACGACGTGGACGCTCAGTACCGGAAGATCTTATGCCTCAGGACAGTATCCGGTCATTCCAGACCCTTGCATCACATCCCGTTAGTTTTTTTATGTTTTATATAACTTTCAAAATTTACTGCGCTAATTATTACTGAGGATTGTGTTATAAATATATAGATTTACTTTCAAATATAGTCAGAAAGTTGCATTAAAAAATATAATTCTAATAATATATAATCATACGATAATTTCAAAGATTTTTAATTTTATGGAAATAAAAACGAGTTATTATTATTATCATCGAAAATAATTATATAATTTCAGGGACTTCATTCTGCCAGTGTGCCTGGAATTCTGGCGCTTGATATTCACAGTGCTGATACCAGCAAGATTTTAACAGGTGGTGCCGACAAGAATGCCACTGTTTTCAACAAGGATACCGAACAAGTGGTGGCAATCCTCAAAGGTCACACGAAAAAAGTGCGCAATTACAATTTTAATTGCCGTTATATTATTTCTTAAAACATATTAATTGTCTTCTATCATCCTCATAGGTTACACGAGTTATTTATCATCCAGAGGAAGATGTAGTGATGACTGCATCACCCGATGCTACAATTCGCGTGTGGAATGTTGGTACCAGTCAAACGACATTGTTATTAAAAGCTCATGATGCACCTGTGACCGGATTGTCTCTACATCCAACCGGCGATTATTTACTAAGCTCCTCCCTGGATCAGCATTGGGCCTTTTCAGATATACGTACTGGCAGATTACTGACTAAAGTATGTTTTAAACTAATGTACTGTTAAATTTAATCATAAAATTGTTTTTAGTTTATAAAGAATAAAAGGTTCTACCCCTTTTTTCTCTTCCATTCTCTTCTTTTTTTCCATACTTATCGTGAACTGTTTAAAGGTTGCAGGACAAGCAGGACAACCACTGACAACGGCACAATTTCATCCTGACGGTTTAATCTTTGGCACTGGTACAGCGGACTCTCAGGTGAAGATCTGGGATTTGAAAGAACAATCTAATGTTGCGAACTTTCCGGGACATACGGGTGTAATCACAGCCATTAGTTTCTCTGAGAATGGATATTACTTGGCGACAGCTGCGGAAGATTCTTGCGTCAAACTTTGGGATTTGCGCAAGCTGAAGAACTTTAAGACATTGCAGTTGGAGGAATCCTATGAAGTGAAGGATATTTGTTTTGATCAAAGTGGGACTTACTTGGCTGTGGCAGGAACGGATGTCAGGTAAAATACTGAATTTATTGGTTATTGATAATTATTAATTATTTTAAAATAATGATACTAATATATAGTAATTAGTAAATACAGAATGTTTCATATTTAAAAAAATGGAGAATTTTAAATAACACTTGTGTTATTGTCTTACAATCAGTAGCGAATATATCAAATATTTTAATATTTGATATTATTCACCATATGTTTTAATATTGAATAACGTGAATTAATTTAAGGTTGCTTGTATTATATGTGTCGTATTGTTTTCAGGGTATATCTCTGTAAGCAATGGCAGGAATTGAAGGTCCTGAACGATCACACAGCGGCGGCCACCGGGGTTCGTTTCGGAAAGCATGCACAATACATTGCGTCTACCAGCATGGATAGGACATTAAAACTTTACGGATTATCATGAATATAAATTTAGGAATATATAGAAATATATATCCATTATTTAATCAGACTAGGTTACGTTATAAAAGTCTAATGGATCCGGTCAAGTGTGAGTTAACTTTTTCAGTTTTTAAATCTTTTATGTATTTCTAAATAAAAAGTTTATAGTAATACAAGAATGTGGCAGGCTCGTAATATTGTAAGATCCATTTTAAGCTTTGCTTTCGAGATCGGCCTTATGTGAATTAGGAATTTTGTTACGTTTTTTTTTCTTTCAAATACAAATCATTTTGAGGATTTCTCAGGTTAGCTATAAAATTTTAAACGTTGTATCTCTCTCATTGTGCATTTTTACAAAAGTATATTTATCTTTATGTGCAAATAAATGTCAAGTGCGATTGCGTACAAAACTTTTGTCTTTAATTGCTAAATCACATCTTAGAAAATTGATATTTTATTATTACAATATTTGAAGTGTTATTTCTCACATACATTTTTTTTTTAACAAAATTTCACCTATATATGCAAAAAAAGGTCTATTAAATGTGTACAAATACATGCATTAAATAATAGGAAAAAATAAGAATCGGTAAGAAAATGTGATAATACTTTTTGAGAAGACAAATGGTTGTACAGATGAACTTTGGAAGAAATTATTAAATTACATTACAACAAATTTTGCATGTTTTGGATCATTGTCATCTAAAAAAAAAATCTATTTAGTGGTCAAATTTTTAATTGCAAAAGATAAAACATTCACGTAGCCTTCGGCAGTTATAGGAATATCCGTTATGCGATGCAATGGTCCCATTCCTTCTCCATGAAAGCAACCCCATATTTCCGCCTCCATGTTTTACAGTCGGAACTTGGTAACGTTAATTAAATCTTTTGCCAGAAGGACATTAAATATATCGTATTCCATTGTTTCAAGCAGATACTTGAATTCACGCTTGAATTCATCGCTCCAGATTAGTCCAGATAATCCTTTTCCGTTCGTTGTCAGTCCAATGTTTCTATGTTAAATGTGCCATTGCAAATCTTGCTTTCTTTTTTTTTCTTTTTTTTGTAATTAACATTTGCCGGGCTTCTGACGGATCGTTCTTCAAATAAACTAGCGTCCTTTAAGCCTTATAATAACATTAATTGATAGATTTTTGTCATGGAAACTCGAAAATTTGTCTTAGATTTCGGTAGCGGTGCATCAGCGGTTTTTTTTTTTTTGAAAGACGAACAATTTTGCGGTCCTCATGCATAGTCGTAATTTTTTTAATACATGTTGTACGACTGATTTTGAAGTCTTACATGCGGCGGCAATGTCTTTCACTGTAGTACCGTGTTTGCTCGCATAGAAATCATTCTTCTTCAGCTTTCTTTTCGCGTTCTGTGAAGGTTCTGCTACAAAATTTCAATATAACGAAGAAGTATTTTTAGTACTAAGATATGGCAATAACAGATATCAAAATTAATTTAAAATGTATATTATATACATATTTTCGAATAACAGGAAAAAAAAGAAAAATTAAAGCAAAATTAAAATTGTTTTACATCTTTCCGGAACTATTGTCTATTTAATATAATTCCTTTAATATAATCCGGGACGGGGCGAGATATCTCGAAACATGTTTTATATAAAAAAATATTTCAGATAAAAATAAATATAAATTACTAATATAGTCGTACAGTGGTGTGTGTATATTATATGTGTGTATATACATATAATACAGTATCGTGCAAAAATTTGCGTACTTTTGATTTTTTGGACTTAACTTGGTTTTACTAATCTGCCATCGGATTAATCTTATATTTTTGGACATTTAAAAGAAATACTAAAAGAAATGAAAATAACTAATTTTGAAATAAAAAAATTTGTTTTAATTTTAAGTTTACCATTGACTTACTTCTCCATAAAATCTCCAAACAAAAATGGAATCATTTATCCTAGTGTAATTTCAAAATATCTTCTAATTCTGTATAGACGTCCAAGTTACTGAATTAATTTTTTATTTGTGACACACGCGCGGCGACACCGTTGCAGTTCCGACGAGATGCTAAAATATCGTGCTACTGATTTTGATTTAATATTAGGCCCTTGCACATGATATGATATGTCGGTTTTATATGTACATCAATGATTTTAATTTTTTGGAAAATATATGATTCATATAACTTATACAATAATTCAGAAAACTCGGTCAATATATATCTTGAAAAAAAATCCATAAAAAGTGAATAAAGTTCACAAGTCTAATAAAAGTTCACAAAATCATGCTGATCAAAAATGTAGGAAACTTAAGAGATAAAAAGATATAAAAAGATACATATTTCCAACTATATATTTGCGGACGTGAAATTTTGGATACAATTATTCACTTTTCTCACATGATTCGTTCACGTGATTTATACAATAAACCATTTCTAAATTATGCTTATAATTAATTCTTACTTTAGCAAGAAGTGACATATGAATCCATGAGTGACATCTCATATCCAATGATTTAATAGAGAGGCTGCGAGCTACATACACACGCACTCTCTTTTTCTCTCGCACACAATTTCTCCCGATTCCATTCGGGGCGATCGTTTATCGGCTACGTAATTAAGGCTCAATCACGTGGTGGCTCGTGGCTTGTAACACTGCCGTGTAAATGTTGAAAAAAGTACATGCTTAAAAAAAAAAGACATAGAGAGTCGCCGGAAAATTCAAGTCTGCGTTAAGTGATACACGTATACTTAACCCTAGAATCCATGACTGGGGTCGATTTCGACCCCAGGCGAACTTTGAACTACGCTCCTGAGCTAGCGAGTGACATTATCGACTCAGGACCTGAACCATAATTCATTTCAACTTTCTAAAAGTAGGGTTATGTCGGTCGCAGCGTTTAGTTGTTCGCTAGCAGTGAAGTAGCACAGTCGTAAAGCGGGCGTGGGGTCGATATCGACCCCAGTCGTGACTTGCCGTTTGAGTTTCGTCACGGTAAGCTAATTTTATTTTTTCGCTAGAATCAATATATATCATGTATTATTACGTAATCTGAGCATAAATAGTCATAAATATTATTTAAGACGAAATATCACACAATTTAGTCGGTAAAAATCCCGTTGCCTAAGAAGATTGACATTTCGCAGAAAATGGCTGGGCGATATAATGTTTCATTTTTTTCATATTTTTTACTATTTTGTATCAAATAAAAATGAAATAATACTTAAAATACAATTTTTTATGGTTTTTTCATCGACTTTTTCCGTATTTCAACTTTGCGAATTTCTTCATCTTTATAGTCCCAAATAAATATACTTTTTGAACAGAACATAGCGATGACAATTTTTTTCTAATAGTCTAATGTGTCCTCTTTAAAACCCCGTTTGAAATTTTAAAATCGGTTGATTACAAAAAAAGATACAAATTTTTGTTTAAAAAAAGAGGTTTTTGCTGATTTTCTGCGTTTTTCAGTCTTTAAATGGATTTTTCACTAACTAAACTTGAGTAAAATTAAATTTACCGTATACCATTCTCTTCGTTATTAAAAAACGAAGAAATTCATGTAGGTTTAAAGGCCCTTTATTTCTGTAGGACCGGTTTTACGATCAAATAAAGCGTGGGGTCGATATTGCCCCCAGTCATGGATTAGAAGGTCAAAAAAATGTATCATGGATTCTAGGGTTAATTCTAAACGTACTTACAGCTATATAAGAGAGACACACACACACACACACATGTGTGTACCTCGATAAAATCAATTATATATTTGCAAATATGCGTAAAGCGGCCTCATGTTCCATCACGCGCGCTCAACATAATCGCTTCTCTAAAAATATAGGAAAGAAAAAAATGAAGCTCTCTGTACAAAGTCTGTATAATACAACAATTGTCTGTACGTGTCTGCGTGTGTATATACATATGTATGTGTATATACATATGTATGTGTATATACATATGTATGTGTGTGTATATATATATATATATATATATATACACATATGTATGTATATATATGTATGTATGTGTGTTCATGCCATAACGACGCTGGCAACAAGTGAACAGAACTTACAGAACAGACCTGGACTAAACTGAATTGAACTGAACTAAAAAAAGAGTTCCCCAAAAAAGTATATTAATTTTGCAACGACGCGACATGATTCGCTTCTTTCGAAAGCGAGGATCCGAGAGAGCTCTCTGTCTTTCTCACCAGTGCCGATGGCAATGCGTGAAAAAGACACAAAAGGACACAATCCTCGCATGACCGGATAAAATCCGAAAGAACACGGCAAAAAGAACTACAGCCATCTCCGATCCCCGCCCTACGGAGGCCGTCATTATCGCGGCATTTCATCATTAGTAAACTAAGCTACATAGCTCGTAATATAGCGTCGACAGAGCACAAAGTCAACAGTGATTGAGCCCCTGCGCCTTCCATCCGGATAGAGAAAGTATTGGGCATTCTGCCACGTCTTATCTCTTCCGCTTTTGCATTTTACTCATAATTTCTCATTTTACTTATTTATTTTTCTTCCATTATCTTCCGCTATATCTTACTAGCCGCTTTACATCATCGTTACTATCAATATGTTAAAGTACAAATGTTCACTAACACAATGATCCTCTCTCGCTCACGCTCGCGCACCACTCATGCATACCAGTTTTTCCTTTTAAAATAATTACCATAATTAGCGCGGATTACTTTATCATTATCGTAAATAATCGGGGAAAGAATTAGAAGGTTGGTTGGTGGGGGATTGTTGAAGAAAGCTTCTTGGTTGATTGTTAGGTTGCTTGGTGATTAGTTGCTTCGTTTTCCTAGTGATGGTGGTGTAAGTACGCTTACGCTAAGGTCAATGGTACAGTACAGTAGGTGAGGTATGCTTTCAGGATGAAGGACACGGGGTGATAGATGAAGAAATTTCGACGTGCATCCGCTATTCGTCGTCGTCCTCGACGTCCTCCCATTCCTCCCATTCGCTGTCGCTTATTGTTATAGTTTCGACCACCGGAACGCCGTTGTTTTGTATTTTCTTTTTATACGCGTTTCTCACTTCCTGCGAGGAAAAAAAGAATATTTCAATATTTCATCTTGAAATATTTCATCTTTATTTCGAAAACGCTTGGACATTCATCTCGTAAATCAATTCAATCAGATTCGAGTTGCAAGTTGTGCAAAAAAAAAAGAGTAATATATTCCGACTATATAGTATAAGAAAATTCATGACTTTTAGCTTCTGACGTTACATGATAACATTACCGGGGCTAGGAGTCTTAATGGTTAAAAGCGTAAGATTGTGCTAAATTTAGATACGTTACCCTTTCGTATCGAGCCTTGTCCTTCTCTGCCATAGCCTCGTATTTGGATTTGGTTTCGGGATCTGCGTCCGACCATTTCTTGCCTAATTCCTTAGCTATATCGCCTACGCGATATTCAGGATTCAGCATTTTGACCTTTCCGCGTTCATCGTTGCAGAACCAGAAGAAAGCAGACCTGATGAAATTAATTATTAAATCTATCTGCTATTATTCAAAGGGTTCGTGCTGCGATAATATGCTAAACCAATCTTTTATAGAGACTAAAGAAAATTATAATGTATAATTCGAAAATAATCTAAATTTGAATGTAGTTTTGAGAAATTGCTCTGTAAATTTAATTTTCAGAAAAACAATTGCAACTTTACTTTAAAGAAATAAATTTGCGGGAAGCCGAGATTCCAGAAATGACTAAAAATGCGAATAAAGCTTTAAAAAAAGTTAAACTTTTGTTTCCGTTCGAATTTACAAGTTAACTTTTCTCGCTGCGTGTTTAAATATTAATCAAGCAAATTCTTTTCTCGAGATCGAGATACATTATGTATTAAACAGCGTGAGGGCTTACAGCGATCTCTTGGGAGCATTGTGATCCTTGATGTGTTTGCGTTTCTTGCCCCTGCCCTTATTCTCTCCCTTAGGCGGCGTATAGTTCTGCATCTCCGTGTCGTATCTCTTCTTGTCCTTCTCTGCCATTTCGTGGAAACGCTTCTTCTCGATGTCCGACATAGTCTACGACACATACGGTATTTCGTATAGCGTTAGCGTTTCCATACGGTTGATCTCGCATATTCACGTGCGTTAAAATGTTCTATTACTGAGAAAATAAGTGTTCCCCGACCGACCTGGCATATTCACAGTCGCGTGCACGCAGGATAATAGATACTCTAAAGTCACAGTTTTTTAATGACGGCGTCACGACGCGGGAGGTTTTTGCCGTGTATCGGATCCGTTTTACTTATCGATAATCTTGATTCTGCTGGACGAGATGAAGATTGACGGCTTAACGAGGCGGGACAGGTCGGCCCGTAACGACGCGCTTAAATACCGTACTTGCACGTGGCATTTATCGAGCGCACGTATTTATTCAGAGGCTAACATCAAAGTGGCTCTCGCGTGACCACAAGCAGGACATTCGACAAAACGTTACGCATTCCGCTTATCTCGTTCGCACCTCGGGCTGTGAAACCGACATGCGGAGAAGTCCAACCAAGTATCGTGATCGCTTCGAAGTTAGTTCTTACAAGGACTCTCTTGATCCTAGCGTTAGCAAGGAGCTCTATTAATCTATCTCAAATTTATTTACGTATAGTATTAAGATAAAAAAATTACTTATGTTTTCATACATATACGATATTATTCCTGCATATTACTTGGTGTTTGCTGGAATATCTATAAAAATGTGATTTGTAATGAATTATAGCGAGTAGTTTGAGCTGAAAAAAAAATCTCACCTTCCACCTCTTTCCACAATTTTTGGCGAAAAACTGGGGGTAAATCTTCCTCTTGGGATGCTTCTTTTTATGCTCCTGGTGACATGACTTGACGAAGTACGTGTACGCTGTCATCCGTCCTCTTGGCTTCACATCCGTTCTTCTCGGCATATTGTCCCGCTGCAGGCTCTGAGCGTTATTTTGTTGAAGATTATTTTGCGGTATCTGCTGTATCGGGTGCTGAAATCCAAGCAAACGGTCTACAATGCAAAACGATGCCGCGGCAAATAACGAAAGACCTGTTAAACACTATCAAACAACAAGTCTCAAAGGCAGCAATAACTTTCTACTCTTGTATCAAAAGAGATTTCTGAGACGGAAATACTTCTCTCTATTTCGACGTGAAAACAAAAGAAAAGTCTCTAAATTCTCAAAGTAGAAATCTTCCATTTTTCCATTGAAAGGAAGCTTATAAATGCTAAAATCTTCGACTTTCGCATCAAAAAAAAAATTTAAATTTAAAAATAAAAACAATCTATTTTTACATATTCGGGAGAAAAATTTAAGTCGCAAAATAGACTTTCTATTTTTAAATCGAGCAAAACTCGTGTAGATATATGTTAATACGCGGAGTAAAATGCGCCGTGTCGTCGTATTATGAGAAATTGGCATAAGTGGTGAGAGAAATGATCACATAGAGTTCTTCGATATCTTAATTAACAAGTTATTAATAACTTGTTAATGCATAATTGTGTATGATCTCTATTACAATTATAAAAAATCTCTATTAATGTTTCTCGCTTCTCTTGAATGTTGTTCTCTTTTACAATTATGGAATATTCCTTGCGACACTTGCGGTAAGATTTTTCACTCGCAGGTGAGGATGCGTTCGAGGCATAAAAGCAACAGTGTGGCATGTGAAATTTGCCGACGTCACTTGTCGAGTAAAAAAGCCTTGGAGGAACATCACAAAATAGTGCACGTCCATGATTATGTCTACGATATACGTCACAAGAAACTGAAATGTAAAAAGAATTTGACCCGTCATAGTTGTAAGAAAAAAATTGCTGTATATATTAAATATATTTAAAAAATAAATGTATGTATTACCTATAAAGATCTGGAATTTTTAGGAATTTATTTTCAAAGCTTGTATAAATTTATATAATGTTATACTATTCATATTTAATCATAGAATTGCTTTTAATTTAGAAAGAATAAAAGGTTCTACCCTTTTCTTCTCTCTTTTCCCTCTCTTTCATTCTCTTTTTTTTCCATACTTATCGTGAACTGTTTAAAGGTTGCAGGACAAGCAGGTGACAAGCATTGACAACGCTGCAATGTCATCCTGACGGTTTAATCTTCGGCACTGGTACTGCGAACTCTCAGGTAAAAGTCTAAGATTTGAAAGAGCAATCTAATGTTGCAAAGTTTCCGGGGCATACGGGTGTAATCACAGCCATTAATTTTGCTGAGAATGGATATTACTTGGCGACAGCTGCGGAAGATTCTTGCGTCAAACTTTGGGATTTGCGCCAGCTGAAAAACTTTAAGACATTGCAGTTGGAGGAATCCTATAAAGTAAAAAATATTTGTTTTGATCAAAGTGAGACTTATTTGGCTGTGGCAGGAACGGATGTCAGGTAAAAATACTAAATTTATTAGTTATTGATAATTATTAATTATTCTAAAATATTGATCCTAATATATAATTAAAAATTAATTATATATAGTAATTAGTAAATACAGGATGTTTCATATTTAAAAAAATCGAGAATTTTAAAAAAAACTTTTTGTGTTTTATTGCCTCACAATCAGTAGCGAATATAATAAATATTTTAATATTTGATATTATTCACCATATGTGTTAATATTGAATAACGTGAATTAATTTAAGGTTGCTTGTATTATACATATATGTCCTATTGTTTTCAGAGTATATCTCTGTAAGCAATGGCAGGAATTGAAGGTCCTGAACGATCATACAGCGGCGGCCACCGGAGTTCGTTTCGGAAAGCATGCACAATACATTGCGTCTACCAGCATGGATAGGACATTAAAACTTTACAAATTATTATAAATATAGAATTAGGGATATAATATAAATATATATCCATTATTTAATCAGACTAGGTTACGTTATAAAAGTCTAATGGATCCGGTCAACTTTGACTTAACTTCTTCAGCTCTTAAATCTTTTATGTATTTCTAAATAAACAGTTGATAGTAATAAAAAAGTGTGGCAAGTTCGTAATATTGTAAGATCCATTTTAGGCTTTGCTTTCGAGATCGGCCTTATGTGAATTAAGAAATTGTTACGTTTTCTTCTTCTTTTAAATACGAATCATTTTGAGGATTTCTCAGCTTAGCCATAAAGTTTCAAACATTGTATCATTGTGCATTTTTACAAAATAATATTATCTTTATGTGCAAATAAATGACAAGTGCGATTGCATAGAAAACTTTTGACTTTAATTACTAAATCACATACATCTTAGAACATAGATATTTTATTATTACAATATTTGAAGTGTTATTTCTCACATACATGCAAAAAAGTTAAAATTGTTTTATATCTTTCCGGAACTATTGTCTATTTAATATAATTCCTTTAATATAATCCGGGACGGGGCGAGATATCTCGAAACATGTTAGTTTTATATAAAAAAATATTTCAGATAAAAATAAATATAAATTACTAATATAGTCGTACAGTATAGTGTGTGTATATGTATATGTATGTATATACATATAATGCAGTATCGTGCAAAAGTTTGCGTACTTTTGATTTTTTGGACTTAACTCGGTTTTACTAATCTGCCATCTGATTGATATTATTTTTGGATATTTAAAAGAAATACTGAAAGAAATAAAGATAACTAATTTTGAAATAAAAAATTTGTTTTAATTTTAAGTTTACCATTGACTTACTTCTCCATAAAATCTCTAAACAAAAATTGAATCATTTATCCTAGCGTAATTTCAAAATATCTTC